TAGAGAGGCAGGAAGAGAGGCAGGTAGGAGGCAGGTAGGTAGAAAGGCAGGCAGGTAGGAAGGCAGGCAGGTAGGAAGGCAGGCAGGCAGGTAGGTAGGCGTATAAGCGATTAAAGTTAGATATCGTTATAGGTAGGTAGCCCCGAGTTAGATTGCGCTTCCGAAAGATATATAGCCATAGTAAAAGGATAGACTTACGAACAGTAACTCACAAGTCAGCGAACAATATAGGAAGCGTTCACAAAAATTCAGAAAAAATGCAATCACAGATACCATCCATTACAGACAGATACACACTTAAATTGTATCTGATTAGTTTAGTTTTGACAGTAAGATTTTAACAGTAATGAAGAACGCCAAAACTTCTGGATTGAACCACTTTTTGCAAGAACATGTCGTCAACATTCATGGATGAATGATTTTGTTTTTGTTTTTTTGGAGGGGTGGGGAAGGGGGAGGTTTAATTGTTTGGTTAAATACGATTCCAACATGATTTTTTTAGTTTGTGATTCCCTCTGTTGTAATGGTTTTCCTTAATTAAGTTATCAAATTAACTTTTACCTATATCCAAATGATTAAAAATGTACACGTGACTATAAAGCATGGAATTCTTTTCAAGTTAAAATATCGGACCATAGTATCATAGTAACAAATGTTTGTGTTAGTACTGATTCATTAATCGATAAAGCACTGTCACGTTATGGTTTGTCATTACTTCCAACGGTTCACTGCACAAACCTATCCGGTTTCTTGGATTGTATAGACAAGGTATGAAGACATTAGTTCCGTAGGTCCAGTTGAAGCAGGCCAGCAAACCTCCAAGATGGTGCCAAGAGGAAAATTTGTGTTTGGAAGTCTCTTTGCAATAATTATTGGATTAGGGGGTGAGTATTGTTACTTTTTCTTTTGTTAACATTAAACGATATGGCTTTTCAGTTCTGGGGTGCAATAATGATATAAAATCTTGTCTTCAGAAAATAAAGCTGATCGAAAAAATGTAACACGGAGAGGGTTATGGTAAGGGTAAGGGTTAGTGTTGATAATTGTGCTAGAAATGTCATCTAATTTATTAAATACATGCATCTATTAAATTCATTTTTATTCAATTTTACTAAATTACATACAGCTGTAGTAAATAGTCGATAATACGTTAGAGCTGTATTTCATTCGTCGATTATAAATTATACCTGTATTACATTTGTCAATTATAAGTAATATCTGTATTACAGTAATCAATTATAAATTATATCTGTATTACATTAACCGATTATAAGTAATATCTGTATTACATTAACCGATTATAAGTAATATCTGTATTACATTAACCAATTATAAGTAATATCTGTATTACATTAACCGATTATAAGTAATATCTGTATTACATTAACCGATTATAAGTTATATCTGTATTACATTAGACGATTATAAGTAATATCAATATTACATTAGTCGATAGTGAATTCTAGGTGTATTTGCTATCAGATCCCGATTCTGTTAGAGTATACCTCGGTATCATGTCTCTGTTATACCTCGGTATCATGTCTCTGTTAGAGTATACCTCGGTATCATGTCTCTGTTAGAGTATACCTCGGTAGCATGTCTCTGTTAGAGTATACCTCGGTATCATGTCTCTGTTATACCTCGGTATCATGTCTCTGTTATACCTCGGTATCATGTCTCTGTTATACCTCGGTATCATGTCTCTGTTAGAGTTAACCTCGGTATCATGTCTCTGTTATACCTCGGTATCATGTCTCTGTTATACCTCGGTATCACGTCTCTGTTATACCTCGATATCACGTCTCTGTTATACCTCGGCATCATGTCTCTGTTATACCTCGGTATCATGCCTCTGTTATACCTCGGTATCATGTCTCTGTTATACCTCGGTATCATGTCTCTGTTAGAGTATACCTCGGTATCATGTCTCTGTTTTACCTCGGTATCATGTCTCTGTTATAGCTCGGTATCATGTCTCTGTTAATGTATACCTCGGTATTATGTCTCTGTTATATCTCGGTATCATGTCTTTGTTATACCTCGGTATCATGTCTCTGTTAAAGTTTACCTCGATATCATACCTCTGTTATGCCTCGGTATCATATATCTGTTCTACCGCGGTATCATGTCTCTGTTATACCTCGGTATCACGTCTCTGTTAGAGTATACCTCGGTATCATGTCTGTGTTATACCTCGGTATCATGTCTCTGTTATACCTCGGTATCATGTCTCTGTTATACCTCGGTATCATGTCTCTGTTATACCTCGGTATCATGTCTCTGTTAGAGTATACCTCGGTATCACGTCTCTGTTATACCTCGGTATCATGTCTGTGTTATACCTCGGTATCATGTCTCTGTTAGAGTATACCTCGGTATCATGTCTCTGTTATACCTCGGTATCATGTCTCTATTAGAGTATACCTCGGTATCACGTCTCTCTTATACCTCGGTATCACGTCTCTGTTATACCTCGGTATCACGTCTCTGTTATACCTCGGTATCATGTCTCTGTTATACCTCGGTATCACGTCTCTGTTATACCTCGATATCATGTCTCTGTTATACCTCGGTATCATGTCTCTGTTATACCTCGGTATCATGTCTCTGTTAGAGTATACCTCGGTATCATGTCTCTGTTATACCTCGGTATCACGTCTCTGTTATACCTCGGTATCACGTCTCTGTTATACCTCGGTATCACGTCTCTGTTATACCTCGGTATCATGTCTCTGTTATACCTCGGTATCATGTCTCTGTTATACCTCGGTATCATGTCTCTGTTAGTATACCTCGGTATCATGTCTCTGTTATACCTCGGTATCATGTCTCTGTTATACCTCGGTATCATGTCTCTGTTATACCTCGGTATCATGTCTCTGTTATACCTCGGTATCATGTCTCTGTTAGAGTATACCTCGGTATCATGTCTCTGTTATACCTCGGTATCATGTCTCTGTTATACCTCGGTATCATGTCTCTGTTAGAGTATACCTCGGCATCACGTCTCTGTTATACCTCGGCATCACGTCTCTGTTATACCTCGGTATCACGTCTCTGTTATACCTCGGTATCATGTCTCTGTTATACCTCGGTATCATGTCTCTGTTATACCTCGGTATCATGTCTCTGTTATACCTCGGTATCACGTCTCTGTTATACCTCGGTATCACGTCTCTGTTATACCTCGGTATCACGTCTCTGTTATACCTCGGTATCACGTCTCTGTTATACCTCGGTATCACGTCTCTGTTATACCTCGGTATCATGTCTCTGTTATACCTCGGTATCATGTCTCTGTTATACCTCGGTATCATGTCTCTGTTATACCTCGGTATCATGTCTCTGTTATACCTCGGTATCATGTCTCTGTTATACCTCGGTATCATGTCTCTGTTATACCTCGGTATCATGTCTCTGTTATACCTCGGTATCATGTCTCTGTTATAGCTCGGTATCATGTCTCTGTTAGAGTATACCTCGGTATCATGTCTCTGTTATACCTCGGTATCATGTCTCTGTTATACCTCGGTATCATGTCTCTGTTATACCTCGGTATCACGTCTCTGTTATACCTCGGTATCATGTCTCTGTTATACCTCTCACGGATCCGATTGTCGTCCATGATTTAATTTAATCTTGATACTTGTATTTGTTACAGTCTGTGAGAGTAGCAGTCGTTTCATATTGGGCTTCATGAAGAACAGGAATGCTGATAAAGCATTATCAATACACTTGCTCAACCCGATGAAAACTGAACCTGCCAATGTGATTATCCAATCTCTTTACACTCCGGTTTCAAAAATTACGTTGCAGCCACAGGGCGACATAATGCATAAACTTCCTTCTATATTGGAAGTAACAGAAGACGGCAGAAGCAATAAGGGTATTTTGATTTCTTCTAGCCAGGAACTTGTTGTTACTGGAATTAACCGCGTGGATTTTATGACGTACTCTTACGCTGATGGTTTCCAAGCTATTCCCGAATCGTCACTCGGACATCAGTATTATGCCGTTACTGCACAAGACCTAGCAGAAATTCTTGTCGTTGGCGGATATAAAGATACTGCTGTGACAATTACTGTTCAAGGAAAAATCAAATACAAAGGTGACATGTATGAGACTGGAGAATCCTTCACTGAAATCCTTGATGCTTTCGACACGTTACTGATTCATGCAGACAGTCATAATCTGACCGGAACTCAAATAACGTCCGACAAAATTGTCAGCGTGTATAGTGGCAACGACTACATGTCCGTAGGTTCTAGTAATCATCTAGTACAACAACTATCCCCAGTTTCGAACTGGGGGAATGTTCACGCACTGGTACCACCTTCAAACACAAAGTATGATGTCATGTTTGTCGCAGCTCTTCCTAATACAACAATAAGTATTAAGTGTTACAACCCCGAATTAGATGAAGATATTGTGTTGGAAAACACAGGAGCGTCGTCATCAAGGTTTATGGCAGGTAGTTACTGTGTTACATCTTCCTCCTCTCCTGTTTCGGTTACCATGCTAGTCAGAAGTGTCGCGTTTGACCCTGTCATGATAAGAATGCAGCCAGTTAACAGCATACGCAGTCTAGTGTTCTTAGTGGTACCGGAATTCGAGACTGAAATTGTTTTGGCTGGCCACCTTGAAGAGCTTACTATAGACGACAGCTCGATTCCAATGAATTCTATGGTCACTGGAAACACACACTATTCACATGTACGTGTTTCCAGAGGTTATCACAAGATTAAATGCAAACCAAAGTGTCTCCTTACCGCTTACATTCATGGATATCTAAGCAGAGAAGCTATTGGCTATCCCGTTGATGTTATAGTAAGTAAACTTAAAACAAATAACTATTAGTGACCATTATAGTGAGTAAACTTAAAACAAATAACTATTAGTGACCATTATAGTGAGTAAACTTAAAACAAATAACTATTAGTGATCATTATAGTGAGTAAACTTAAAACAAATTTATCAAATAAAAACACAAATGCCAGGTATGCATTTAGCCTGCTGAACAGCTAGAAAGCCGGCGTTTATTAATATTTGACACATATTTTGTTTTATTGTATTATTCATATAAAATTACTTGAAATACATACTCCGAAATATTTTGATCATATCTACTAATAACTCTTGTTTCTAAACTTCCATTTCCATACAATACAGCCCAGGGTTAAAAACCAGAGATAAACTCTATGAGCTAAATGCTCTGGAAAACCTTCTGGCTCACTACCTACACTCGACAACTTTGTCATGTCCGAGTTACCTCCCATAGATAAAAAATTCTATTTTTACTAAATCTAAATTCTGACATTAAAAAATAAAAAACAGCCTGTACGATATGCTGTCCAAGGCTAGAATGACCCCACCTATACAATACACCTGTATACCTGACTCAGTACAACGAAAACCACGTGCAAAATGCCTTACTCGCCTATTTGGCCTAATGCATATTCATCAGCCTACGCCTATACTATATATGGCAATAAAAACTTACAGACAATATTTTTCTGCTATACTAACGAAACGCAGAAAAAGTTACGTCTAAACTATTTCCCATAAAACACTTTATCAAATAAAAACACAAATGCCAGGTATGCATTTAGCCTGCTGAACAGCTAGAACTACAAAGAACGGGTCAAAGTCAGAGGTTTAAAAGTTTAGTGACACTTAATCTGTGTTCTAATGAATCCTTAATGTAACCGTCTTTTGCTTTATCGGTCCTCCATCTGCCATGTCTCTTCCAACATCTATCGTTAGTAGATGCATTGGCTGCCTTAGTTGCACCCCCTGCCCTCATTGAATGTAAGCCAATATTTACATTTCCACAAACTTCCTTAAGTCTCTGAACAACAGTCTCCCTTGTGCGGGTATAACTAATTGGTTTGTTTTTATGAATAAGTGAACAAATACCTCTAGAAGAAAAAGCAGGTTTAAATAAAAAATCATTTGAATTTGTATTAATATTTGCCACAGCAATATATCTGCTAAGTATTTTCATTGGACAAGCTACAGATGTACCCCTTGAAATCACTACTTCATTGCCCTGTCTATATTGATCTGTTTTGCTCTTTGGTAAAAATAATGACAGATAATTCTCATGAAAATTTACATCTTTGCATTTGAGTGAACTGATTTCATCAAATCGTAAAAACCCTGCAAAACATAGAACGATAATAGCTAAATCTCTTAACACTAAAAGCTTCTCAGATTGTTCATATTTTTTACACAGTTCTATAATCTGATCTATAGAAATAATATCCTTTTTCACCACTGGACGACTATAATTTCGTTTGGCAGATTCCATTAAATTTGTAACATAAAAGTTTTCAGTGGGGTCTGTGAAATTCCTTATTTTATGTGCCCATTTGATGCCATAAACTGCCGACTGTACAGATGCAAAAGAATGCCTAGTGTCCATCAAATGAGTTAAATACAAAGCCACAAGGATTGGCTGAGCTGGAATTACAGAATAGTTTAAATCTTTTGATTTTATAAAGTGTTCCCACCGTTTAAAAGCACTGTAATATTTTGATACTGTATTTTCACTCCTGCTTCCGATCAAGTGTCCCGCCATGCTCTTCGCTAAGTCAGCCATCTCATTGGAAACCATACCAGCGGCTCTTACATCATCCAAAACTGCCTGCCTCAACCCTAGGCCTGAAACAGATTAATATCATCTAAAATTGTATCTTTAATGCCACCATACTGAAATTCCCATTTTTCTTTCCAAAAATCCCATTATTACCCCTACCCTTCTTCAGGATAATTGTACTAAAATTCCTAAAATCTCTCACAAATTCTCTGAACATTTTACCATTGTGTACTTTTGACCAGAATGGAGCAGACCTCCATAGGGGTATCATTAATGTACCACATGCTTTCTCCGTTACAATCTTGCTTATAACTTTACATATTAACCTTGGTGGTGGTACCCACCAATTCAAACCTGTGCCCCATGAATACATGAATGCATCTATCCCGGATGTACCAGAACACCACCATCTAGAATAATATTTTGCACATTTCGCATTATAATCACATGCAAAAACATCACAAGTGTAAGGGCCCCAAAATCCATGCAAAAACCTAAAAATATATTGTTCAATCTGCCAGTCATCGCTGTCTGAACACCTGCTCAATACGTCTGCCCTACTGTTCAACGATCTTGGTATCCAAACCGGATTCATGTTTATGCTACTATTCTCACATATGCTGTATATCTCTATTGCTTTTGCCTGTAAATCAACCTTTGTGCTACCTTTCTGTATGATAGAAACAACATTTTTGTTGTCTGTGTACCATTGAACCTTATGCCCTTCCAGGCAATTCTCACAAGTATGAAGCATCCTATTTACCGCTTCCAGCTCACGCCATGTGGAGCTCATTCTCTTTTCAGTATCTGACCAAGACCCTACCAGATCATGATCCCCACTCTCTATTATGTATCCACCATACCCTGATGCTGAAGCATCAGTATAAACTGAATAAGTGAAATCTATTACAGTTTCAAGCTCTGTTCCATTCAATGTATGTATATTCTTGAGCCAAAATAACAACTCTGATTCTGCCCCTACACTCACTACTATAGGTGCATTCCAGCTAGCTCTAGAATTTATACACTTGTACATTTCTCTGCTTTTTAACAATGCAACTTTGCCAACTGCCACTTGAGTTGAAATCACCTGGCCTGCTATACAAGCCAGCTTTTTAACGTGTACGCATCTGTTGTTTTGCAAGTCTCTTAAAACAGCTTCGATACAACTACACAACTTGTGAACTCTGTTCTGAACTATATATACTTTACCTTCATTGAAATCCCATAATAAACCTAACCACTGCAGAATACTTTGCGGTATCCATTGACACTTCTCTTCAGCTACCAAAAACCCTAATCTCTTAAGATCGGACTGAACCTGTAAACTAAAACCTTGAGCTGTATCTAAACAGTCTCCTCCGCCTATGCCATCATCTAAAAACATGATTATTTTCTTACCTTGAGATCTCCAATACCTGACTACCTGCCTTAGCAGTTTTGTAAAAATATACCCTGCTGTTGAGATACCGAATGGTAAAACGTTAAAAACAAAAAATCTACGTCCTTTCTTATAATCCCAAGCAAAACCCAAGTACTGTCTGTGATCTTCAAAAATTTCAACATGGTGATAGGCCGATTTTAAATCAAATCCGAAAACTGAATCACCTTTCTTAAAAACATCCCTACAAACCACAGAATCCTCGTATTTAAATTTGTACTTAAACAAACGTGTATTGATATGCCTACAGTCCAAAACTAGTCTTAATTTAGCTTTATTTTGACTTACTGTCAATGGATTGATCACATACGGTAGGATATAAACCTCAGAAATACATCCCTTCAACAATAATTTGTTAATCTCTTCCTCAACAAAATCTCCATGTTCCAAACTTGACCTATTATTTCTGAAATCAACGCTCTCCGGCAATGTATGGAAAGGTAACTTATAACCATTTTCGATAACCTTTATAATTTCATCGATTGCTCCTATATCAACCCAATGGTCTCTAGCTGTTCTCAACCTACCCACCGGTGTCTGAATTACCGGATCATTCATTTCCTTTATAGAACCATTTTTCATATTTTCATCATCTAAACATACATTAGTTATACTCATCTTTTCAACTTGATTGCCACTTCTGACCAGCTCTTTACACTCAGCCCTCCAATGCCCCGGCTTCCCGCAGGCAAAACAAAACCCAGGCCTCCTTGTTGTTGTTGTGTTTCCGGAAGTTGTGTTCTCTTGAGTCCTGTGAGTTTCCGGTGCGTAGGGGTGCGTTCGATTAAAACGTCTCCTGGTGCCCATCTGAACTTTTATTTTCCGTTGAGCTCTATTCTCTGCTTTCACCATTTTCTTTTCGTCATCGGAATTATCAGCTATGGAATTAGCTTCATATTCCTTCACTGTCTTCCAGCCGAACTCGGAACTATCGGCCAACTTTATCAATTTCTGTCTATATTCTAACATAGTTAAACCTTCGGAAATCTTGTCCTGTGCATCTGTAGTAGCATCACGAGTATTACTGTCTTTTTAGAATAGCGTCCGCTTCTCTGAGTTTCTGAGAGACCCTCGAGTTTAATTTGAATTGCTCCTCATTTCCTTTCTTATTGAACTTGTGGGCTTCATTATTTATGAGTTGAATCTTTGCCACTTGTGCGTCGCTCAGTTCTCTCTGATTTTCATGTAGTTGTTGCTGGAAAACGTTCAATTTATTCGACACTAAAGTCTCTAAACGAGATAAAAATGAATTTTGAGACTCTTCCACTTGTTGTTTAACTATTTCGCTGACGTCTGCCGGCTCCATAGTGAAAATAAAAAACAGCCTGTACGATATGCTGTCCAAGGCTAGAATGACCCCACCTATACAATACACCTGTATACCTGACTCAGTACAACGAAAACCACGTGCAAAATGCCTTACTCGCCTATTTGGCCTAATGCATATTCATCAGCCTACGCCTATACTATATATGGCAATAAAAACTTACAGACAATATTTTTCTGCTATACTAACGAAACGCAGAAAAAG